TAAATAACTGGTCCAATCTTGTGGGGGAAACTATTTGCCATTCATTCCGGGACTTAGTTGTTTTGAATTTGAAAGATCACAAAAAATGGAGAACAATTCTTGTTATTTATGAATGGCGAAAGTGAGTTGCCATAATACTGAAATTTTTGTCTTTGTCGGATGGCAAAAAGTCAGAAAAATATCGTTTTCTCGCAATTTCTCAATTTATTCCGGAATTAACTTAGGAGTCGTTGACATATTACGTAATTACTGAGGGGGGGGGGGGGGGGGGGGTGGGGGCAATAGCTATGTGTGGTGGGGTTAAAAATTGGCCAAAAAGTGATTACGTATTATGTGAACGGTCCCTTGTGGTGAATGGCTATGACCCCCCACCCCATCTTGTACAACGTCTGTCCACTTTACCTCATTATTGGTCCAATATTGGTTACTCGTTCGCAGTCACCTGCCTTAGTTACCAGGTAACCTACTTAGTTACCTGTACATTTTGATATGTTTTGTGGAATTCTTGTTTTGGGAAATTACTAACAAATAAATGAAATTGATTATGAAAAGTTTGTAATCTGCAGATAGTTATTGTTTATTTACACATAGTAACAGTCGAGCTTAAATTGTATCTTAGCTTTTAGTTTTATGTTTAAGATTTTGTTTTCCCTGTTGTTGTACTGAATGTCAGGACTATTTATACATCATGATTTAAGGCAATACTTACTTGGCATTTTCTATGTTTTCAACATTTTCGTTTTTTGCTCTCTTGAGTGGGTCAATCATGATAGATTACTGGGGACACTTTTTGCAACTCTTCGTAGCAGAAACATACAATTGTTAAACTAAATCTTTTCAAATATTAAAATAGAAGTTGCAATTAAACGTGAAAAACCTGCAAATTTTCGAAACAGTTTTTCGCCAATATCTCGTCAGGGGAGCATTTTAACCCTATGTCATAGGGGTGATTTGGAATCAGCGTCCGAAAATACATCGATTGAAGTTGGTTTCAACTGTCGGGGGCCCTTTTAGAAAAATCTCGAAGATCGACTGTAGAGTGATTTGGCACGTTCGTACTTGCTCGTTTAAATTTGTTCAAATACTAAAAATCCCTTGAGCTGCTCGCACTGTTCCCTATTGTTAATCTTAGGATTAAATAAGTTAATTAAGTAAGCATTTTTATTAAAATGGACTTGATAGGTAAGTTGTGTAATTTGGCGAATTTAGTAACTTGTTTTGAGAACTGCTCGTCAATCTTACTATATATAAAGCGAGACGATATATATATATATATAATATATATATATATATTTATTTATCCGCACCATTTTACTGACACCACGGCATCAACTTTAACACGGGTTTCCACAAAAACCGTACAAGATATAAAACTGAAACTTTTTTAACTGATTCAAATCAGCATGAAAAAATCGAAAATCGGCCAAGGAATAAGAATTTTAGTACCCAAAATTTAGACCCCCAAGTGGTGTCAAAAACGCGAATTAAATAGGTAATAATTATTTTTACTTGGAGACTTTAGGGTAGGAAACTGATCCGGCCACCAAAGAGCCTTGACACCAGTCTTAAAGGTTTGACGGGTTCCTGCTAGTGAATGGTAAAGTGCACGTCACGTGATTGGTATCTGGTGAGTGATTATGGGGTGCCGGGTGTGTGGATGATGGGTTGAGTTGAATGCTTAGGTGGATATGACGAGGATCTTGGTAGCCGTTGTTCACCAGCAGACTGTCGATTATCTCCTTAGACTCTTCATATTCCGGTGTTGAGGAGCACCTAGCGATGCTGTGTTGTAGCAATTCTTCATGATCGATGCGACTTTTGTCTTCTCTGTGTGGTGGCTTTTAGCGTGTACAAGAGAAAGGCATTGTTGGACGTGAGGCGGGTGAGGATTCCTCTTACTTCATTCATATTAATTCTTCTTTTACGTCCCTAAAAAAATGTTATAGGTTATGTAGTGTGTAATTAGTTTCAAAATATAAGTTTCTAATTAATCACCTGTATCCTTATATTCTTGTAACCAACTTTTATAGTTGATAGTACTATGTTTACAGTATGCACTGAAGGGATATCATAGAAAATTTTGAACTTTCGTCAGGTAACCCTCATTTAACCTCATTTAAGTTTCCTATATTCGGATGTGTCGATCGAGGAGATGGCCATAGATCTAATGGATCCTTAGCTACTCCCTAGTTAGGTGATACTGGGATTCGAACCTATAAACCTTCTGCGCTGAAGGCGGATGCATTTAACCATTAGGCTAGTTGTTGTACAAAATTCTTTGTTATACTAAATTTAATCATCTTAATTACTGTGAAATTATTTAAGGATAACAACCACCAATGACTTCTATATAGATATTATCATGTTTGTATCCATTGTATCCTTGACTGCATTACCTTCTTTGTTATTCTGCTTGTTTGCATCCTCACACCATTGGTGTTATGTTTAAAGACAAGGGACCATCATTTAATTGTCTCTCAATCGTTTTTCTGTCTGCATTGTGAAAAGATTAGTGTTTAGTGTTTACTTCTTAGGAAGTTCAACCAATGTCTCAGTCTCAACACCCGCAGTAACGTTAGTTTTCGCGTAGTCAAATAGGTTATAAAGAATGAAAATAATGAATTATTATTTCAGATAGAATGATAGTCTTCACCAGTGTGTTTAAATGATGTAATACGCCCACTACCCTTAAGATGATAGACAGCTCATCTTAGGTCTCTTGCAAATTATGGTTACCTTCAGTTACCTCATATCCACAACAAAACTGTTTGACTTGCACAATTTTAGATTCCCCAGTATTTTCCTGTCTGGCCAACTGTCATTGCTCTCCTTGTTATAATGGTGTTGTACCAGGCACCATGTCATGACTAAATTTGTTTCTCTAATATTCTTATTCGCTAATTGTATTGACCAATTCCTTGTTGTATGATTGTGCAGTCATATAAAGCGACAAGGAGAAAGGCCATGGTTGGACGTGAGGGGGTGAGGATTCCTCTTACTTCATTAAATTAATTCCTTCTTTTACGTCCTAAAAAAATGTTTATAGGTTTGTAGTGTTGTAATAGTTTCAAAATAAAAGTTTTCATTAATACATGTATCCTTTATTCTTGTACCCAACCTTTATAGTTGATATTACTATGTTTCCTGTATGCACTGAAGGGATATCATAGAAAATTTTGAACTTTCGTTAGGTACCCTAAAATTTTTTTAATCCCCTCAATTAAGTTTCCTATCATTCGGATGAGTCGATCGAGGAGATGGCATAGATCTAATGGGATCCTTAGATTCTCTAGACTAGGTGCTATGGGGATTCGTCCCCGAAACTTCTGCGCTGAAGGCGGATGCTTTAACCATTAGGCTTACTTGTTGTTACTAAATTTTGTTTATACTAAATTGTTAATTTATTTAAGTACTGTGAAATTAATTTAAGGATAACCAACCAACAAAATGAATTCTATATAAGATATTATCATGTTTGTATCCTTGTTTCCTTGAAGCATTACCTTCTTTGTTATCTCCTGCTTGGTTGCTTCTAATATTGGTGGTGTTACTTGTTTAAAGACAAGGACATCATTTAATTTTTCTCTCAATCGTTTTTCTGTCTGCATGATGATAAGATTAGTGGTTTTAGGTGTTTCCTTCTTAGGAAGTTCAACAAGTCTCAGTCTCAACACCCGCCAGTAACATTAGTTGTTCGCGCTAGTCAAATGGTTAAAATGATGAAAATAAATTGATTAATATTTCGATAGAATGATAGTATTCCAGTGTGTTTAAAGATTGTAAAAGCCCACTCCTTCAGGATGAAGAAAGCTCTTCTTAGGTTCTTGCAATACTGGTACCTTCAGCGTAACCTCATATCCAAACAAAAACTGTTTTGACTTGCACAATTTTAGATTCCCCAGTATTTTCCTGTGCCTGGCATATGTCAATTGCTTCAATGTTATAATTGTGTAGTTACAGGCACCAGGTCATTGACCTAAATTGTTTCTCTAAAATTCTTATTCGCTTAATTGTATTGTCATTTCCCTTGCTTGTTTGATTGTGCATTCATTAATAAGCGGACAGTGAAAGGCCATTGTTGGACGTGAGGGCGGGATGAGGGATTTCCTCTTACTTCATAAAATTAATTCCTTCTTTTACGTCCTAAAAAATTGTTATGGTTTGTAGTGTTGTAATAGTTTCAAAATAAAGTTTCTAATTAATCACCTGGCTACCTTATATTCTTGTTACCCACCTTTTATAGTTGCTAGTATTAGTTTACAGTATGCACTGAAGGGAATATCATAGAAAGAATTTTTGAACTTTCGTCAGGTTCCCTCATTTTTACCCTCAATTAAGTTCCTATCTTTCGGATGGAGTTCGATCGAGGAGATGAATAGATCTAATGGATCCTTAGCTATCCCCTAGACTAGGTGATATGGGAATTCGAACCCTAAACCTTCTGCGCTGAAGGGGATGCTTTAACCATTAGGCTATTTTTGTTTTACTAAAATTCTTTGTTCTACTAAATTGTAATTTCTTTAATTACTGTGAATTATTAAGGATATAACAACACAACTGAATTCTATATAAGTAGTATCATGTTTGTTCCTTGTATCTTGACTGCATTACTTCCTTTGTTATTCTGCTTGGTTGATTCCTCAACTTGTGGTTATGTTTAATGTACAAGACCCTATTTAATTTTTTTTCCAATCGTTATTCTGTATTGCATTGTGAAAAGATTGAGTTAGTGTTTACTTCTAGGAAGTTCAACCAATGTTCAGTCTCAAACCCGCAGTAACTTTGTTGTTTCGCGCAAGTCAAAAGGTTAATAATGAATGAAATAATTGATTATTATTCAGGATAGATTGATAGTATTCACAGTGTGTTTTTAAGATGTAAAAGCCACTACCTAAGATGAAAGAAAAGCTTTCTTAGGTCGCTTGCAACTGGTACCTTCAGCGTTACCTCATATCAACAACACTGTTTTGACTCTGCACAATTTTCGATTCCCAGTATTTTCCTGTCCTGGCAACTGTCATTGCTCTCCTTGTTATAATTGTGGTTGTACGGCACCATGTATGACCTAAATTTGTTTTCTAAATTCTTATTCGCTAATGTAATGACAATTCCTTGTTGTATGATTGTTTGCATTTCATATAAGCGACAAGAGAAAGGCCTTTGTTGGCGTGGAGGCGGGGTTAGGATTCCTCTTACTTATTAAAATTAATTCCTTCTTATAGTCCTAAAAAAATGTTATAGGTTTGTAGGTTGGAAGTTGTTTCAAACATCAAAAGTTTTTCTAATTAATTCCCTGTATCCTTATATTCTTGTACCCAACTTTTATCGTTTGATAGTACTATGTTTTTTACAGCCTGCACAGGGATATATAGAAAAATTTTTGACTTTCGTAGGTTACCTCATTTAACCCTCAATTAGTTTCCTATCATTGTATGTGTCGATCGAGGAGATGGCATCGATCTAATGGATCCTTTGTTACTCCCTAGATAGGTGATCACTGGATGCGAACCCTAACTCTGGCTGAGGCGGATGCTTTATCCATTAGGCTAATTGTTGTACTAAATTCTTTGGTATACTAAATTGTAATTTATTTATTTACTGTGAAATAATATAAGGATAAAAACACAAATGAATTCTA